AGAAAGAAAGAAAGAAAGAAAGAAAGAAAGAAAGAAAGAAAGAAAGAAAGAAAGAAAGAAAGAAAGAAGGAAAGAAAGAAAGAAAGAAAGAAGGAAGGAAGGAAGGGGGGGAGGGAAGGGAGGGAAGGGAAGGGAAGGGAAGGGAAGGGGAGAGAGAGAAGGAAGGAAGGAAGGGAGGGAGGGAGGGAAGGAAGGAAGGAAAAGAAAGGAAAGGAAAGGAAAGGAAAGGAAAGGAAAGGAAAGAAAGAAAGAAAGAAAGAAAGAAAGAAAGAAAGAAAGAAAGAGAGAGAGAAAGAGAGAGACAGGAACTTAGAAAGCAAGTGCCGTGCTGATGTTTCATGCCATCTTCCTAAAGTCCAATTGTGGGGCCCCAAATTCCAACCTTCAGTTAGTCCCCACATTGCACTTCTTTCTTTGGGTTGAAAATATCCTCATCTGGGAATTTTAACTTTCAAAAGTCAGGCTAACTATGCTGTTTTGCAGATTTCTGGTACCTCACTCTCAGGATTCTCAACAGCCTAGAACAAGGGCATCTGTTGCGTGCTGGTATCTGAGGTCATTCTCACACAGCGTACTAACAGGACAATAGGAAGTATTTGAGCTAATCACAGCTGTTCCGTGACGACACCACATAAAACGCAGTCATTCTAGAGCAGGTGTGTGTGTGCATTTATATGAGAAAGAGAAGTAACTTGGACCACTGAAAGAAGGGACAGCATTTGAAGCAAAGCTTGGGTTTTAAATCATCTAAAGAAACAGGGCTGAGCACCTCTTGGCCCAAGCAGCTGTCAGGACTAAATGTTTACAGAACAAAAAGCAAATTCCCAATCACGTGCAGAGGCGGTTGTGACTTCACTGGGAATTGAGATCCATCTCATGGAAGCTTCAGGTCACAATCTCACTTCTCATTTCAAGTTTGGCCACAGTCTAGGCATTTCTGTTGACCCCTTTAAATTGTCTTCAGGACCCCTCTGTGCAGGTGGCTTCCCCTGAGAGAAGCTCAGCTCGCCACGACTTAGGCTGATGGGGGCAGTCACCCTACTGGGAGGTGGCATCTGTCAGGGATGTTGCCACCATCTCCCTGCCAAATGGTCTCTTGTGACTCGGAATCTCAAACTTGTTTTAAACAGAGGGGAAAAGTCACTTTCCAGGACGAGGTTCTTGGCCCAACCCTGTTTTGTATAAACACAGTCTACAGCTATTTTGGTCTTCTGGATTTTGAGAAGCAGCCACTGAGTTGTGGCGAGGGTGACCAGACTGGTGTTGGCCCAAATTAAAAAGCAGAGAGCTTTGTTCTTTTGGTTGGTCTCCTCCAGACCTCCTCTGATTGGTCTGGCCTGGGGGAAATAGGATGGGCCTCACTTTAATAGAAGCCAGCTCTGTCAAAGTCTGAACTTGTAGAAATGGACACCTTGGGTTTGGAGTAAGAATTCTTACTCTACAAAAGGATAACATTATCATGCTGATACAGAAGGCTCAGGATATTAAAAGTATTGATGGTTGGTCCACCTAGTGTTCGAAGGGCACACGCACTCATCGCTTGAAGCCAGCTTCTTGTCTATAACTTGTCTATAACTGCTGTCCTTGTGGCCCAGTGAAGGGGGCACACAGCCCACCACTTTCCCAGTGACTCACTGTCTTTGGAAGTCCCCTCGGGAGCTTCCTAGTGAGTCTTGCCTGATACCTGGATTTACAACCTCATCAAGCAGCCATCTGTCTAAGGCTCAAATCTAACATGTTACTACTGCTGACATTGTAACTTAAGGAGGGATCGTGAATCCAAAAAGAAAAAGGTTAACAGGTGTACGGGGCAAATAACTCAAGTTTTGGAAAGCAGCTTAGAACTCCACTCTACCTCTTGCATTTTTAAAAGTGAAACACTTTTGACTCATAAAAGTTGGTGTTCCTCAGTTAATGGCACATCCACAGAAGATCATACTGCAAAACCAAACCCTCTTCTTCCAAAGGCAGCTGCTGCGGCACCCTCTGCTCTCTCCTTCCCGTCTCTATCCTGTGATAGTCAGTGAGGGCTGACTGTGCTCCGGGGCCAAGTGCAGGCAGTGGAGAGTAACAAGGGTGAGATCTCAAAACACTTGTGTTGTGCAGACAGTGCCATGGGAACTTGACGGAGGGCCCCCAGCAAGCCGAGGGTCAGGCTTCTCAAAATTGGGGAGCTATACAATGGATTCTGGAGGACAAACAGTGTGGGAAACAGAAGTTGTTGTTCTGGGCAAGGAAAGAAAGAGTCCGTGCAAAGGCCCAGGGGCTAGTGAACCTCAGGGCTGGGCTAGGCTTGCTGTCTCCTCCTGCCCGGGAGGGCACAGGGAAGCCAGCTTTGCTTATCATGGTGTCCACTTGGCTCTGCAAACACCCATTCCCCAAGTCTCCCCACCTCCCGTCCCCAGCAAACCATACATCTGCTTTTATTCTCATTCTCTTTTAAGCCAAGGAAGAGTTCCCTTGAAGGGCCAGTCCGTGCTGAGTTCAGGGGCTTTCCTGACAGAGCTACCGTTGTTTGGCTTGGCTGTAAATCGCAAGGCCTTGGTTTCCCAGCTGTCTGATTCTCTTTGTTCTGAAAGCTTAGCGCAGCATTACCAGGGAATGATTACACAGGAAAACAAAAAGAAGAAGAAGGTCTGTTTCCTTCTCTTCGTGCAAGTAATTACTGGCTCGAGCATGAAGTGGCTAATCCGAAAGAATAACCTAATGCTTCGGATGTCTAAACAAACAAATCTTTTATCAGGCAAGTCTGCGTTATTACCAACCAAGGAATTGTTCTGAGCACAAAGAAAACATTATGCAATATGTTTTAAAAGAAAAATGCAGAAAATAATTGAATCACTGCAATCCCCCTAAGACTGGGTATCACACCATCAGAGGGTGGACATCTGGCCCGGGGGATATAGGGTGAGCCTCACTTTAATAGGAACCAGCTCGGTCTAAGTCTGGGCTTGCAGATCAGGGTGCACGATTAGGGAAGGGGCCCCGTAGTATATTCCAAACCCTACGCAGTAGAGGCAGTGAAGGAAACGGAAAAGGGAAGAACTTACCCTCACCTTGGCAATCAACCAGCAATCAGGGAGGACTTGACTTGCCGGGCCTAAGGAACAAATTCAGAGGTTCGTTTTGCCTGTGAAATTAAAATTATATTTTTAGTACATAAAGCTGATGCCATTTGACCATGAACCCCACGTGCCACTTCCCAGCTCGCTGCAGCTTTTCTGCTTATTTCCTTGTTAGGTCTGCTCAAAATACAAACTCTGTGTTGCCACGTTGCCAGAGAAGCAAGTGTGGGCTGACGGGCTGATTTAAGCTGCTATTGGTCTTCCTCTATAACCTTTACAATGGTTGTGACAAAGAAGATCCCTGTATGGAACAACTTCTAACTGTGTAGTGTCTGTGAACCATGCCTGCCTTCTCCAGCTTTGGCATTCGCTTGACTAAGTTGAGGATCTCATTACCTTTCCTTAGAGCTTACAAAAAAAAAGTTAATTGGAATCATGCTGAGAGTTTGGTATGCGCTCAGTGCTGTAGCAGGGAGCATCTTCTCCTGTGTCAGATTAATATGTTATGTATGTGAATCATTATACTTGAATTTGCTGCAGCGTTTTGTAGTGACGCATAAATCCGGGCACCCAGGCTGACTGCAGTGGCTTCAAAGCATTTAATTCCTTTTCAATGGACTCAGTATCCTTGGAATGTGCTGTGTCAGTGTTTTCTGAATTTTCTAAATGCCATCGTTACAGGTCCATTTGTTTATGATGTGATGTGGTGAATAATCGTGTGGGTTTTACGGGATTTTCTTTCGAAGACAAGGAATGTACATATTACTGCAAATGAATAAATTATTGAAAATGTATGGATCATGCCCGCTGTTAAAAATGAATTTATTTGTTTAATAAAGTGACTGTTCAAATTATAAGACTGTATATTGTCCTTATAAATACGGATGCCATATCTGTTAAGTGTTGTGCAATACTGATGTGTGTTCTCTAATAAAATGGATCAAAATGCTTTCTTTAAACACACAACCCCCTAGTTCTTCCATCATGGTGTGTTGTTAATATGTATCTTGAGAAATGGAGTGGATAATGCAGCCCAGGAGAGTTGGTATCTCCTGCCAGCTCAATAGGGTAGGTTGCCATAGCATATGGCATATAGGTTGGTTGGCCTCTTTCAAGACACAGACAAGGACCAGAAGACAATCGGATCATCAGGTTTAGAGGCAGGTAGCAGGGGGAGGCGGTAGGCACATGGAAATGTCGTATGCAGTCAAGGCAGGATGTATGAAGTGACCCAAAGCTAAGGTGATGTGTTATTTGGGCCAGTGATCAGAGAAGGTCACAGGCAACCCAGTTCAAGGAAAATATCATATTTTATCATGTATAATGAGCTCCCGTGTATAAAGTGCACCCGTGTTTTTGACCCAAACTTTCAGGAAAAAGAAAATCTTTTATTTTAATTTTTCAATCCAAATGTTTATTTGTTTATATTTAGGTATCTGTTTTGGTATTATAAAAACATTCACATAGATACAGAATTATTACTACCTATATGTAACACTAATCCTTATTTTTCCCTTGCTCATCTGTAAAATGGGATAATAATAGAAGCTTCCTCTTCCATCAGTGCATGCGAA